CAACTCTCCCACCTGTCAGTCAACTCTCCCACCTGTCGGGTCAACTCTCCCACCTGTCAGTCAACTCTCCCACCTGTCAGTCAACTCTCCCACCTGTCAGTCAACTCTCCCACCTGTCGGGTCAACTCTCCCACCTGTCAGTCAACTCTCCCACCTGTCAGTCAACTCTCCCACCTGTCAGTCAACTCTCCCACCTGTCAGTCAACTCTCCCACCTGTCAGTCAACTCTCCCACCTGTCAGTCAACTCTCCCACCTGTCAGTCAACTCTCCCACCTGTCAGTCAACTCTCCCACCTGTCAGTCAACTCTCCCACCTGTCAGTCAACTCTCCCACCTGTCAGTCAACTCTCCCACCTGTCAGTCAACTCTCCCACCTGTCAGTCAACTCTCCCACCTGTCAGTCAACTCTCCCACCTGTCAGTCAACTCTCCCACCTGTCAGTCAACTCTCCCACCTGTCAGTCAACTCTCCCACCTGTCAGTCAACTCTCCCACCTGTCAGTCAACTCTCCCACCTGTCAGTCAACTCTCCCACCTGTCAGTCAACTCCTTCACCTGCCAGTCAACTCTCCCACCTGTCAGCCAACTTCCCTATCTATACCACCCAACATTAATTTCCGGCATCAGAACAGCAGCTTCTAGCAACCAGCCATTCGTCTTGGTTTCCTTCATGGTCCTCATGTCGTCTCTCATCCGCTCTCTGCCACACAACTCACCATCCCAGCAACGTGTCTCGCAACCGCCTCTCAGGCCCTCTGCCTAACGCTGCTGCCAGTCCAGCTCTCATCCTGTGCGTATGCCCTGGTAACCACAAGAGCCCTGGTAACCACAAGAGCCCTGGTAACTGCAAGATTTAGCCATTCCATTTGAATCTTGAGAATAGAAACTACTGTTCCCTTCCTTCTCTCAACCGTCGCTTTTTCTTCTCCCATTTCCGCTCACCCATGTGTCTCTCTTCCCCTTATACTCCCATCCATGCCTCTCTCCCATATCTACACGTTCAACATGCATTCAACACGCTCCCATGTCCGCAGCGACCTCTCATTCAACGCGCTCTCAGGGTCGCTGGAGAGGCGTCATGTCAATCTCAATCGTCTGGCCATGCTGTGTGGGGCCATGCTGTGAGTGTGGGGCCATGCTGTGAGTGTGGGGCCATGCTGTGAGTGTGGGGCCATGCTGTGAGTGTGGGGCCATGCTGTGAGTGCGGGGCCATGCTTTGAGTGTGGGGCCATGCTGTGAGTGTGGGGCCATGCTGTGAGTGTGGGGCCATGCTGTGAGTGTGGGGCCATGCTGTGAGTGTGGGGCCATGCTGTGAGTGTGGGGCCATGCTGTGAGTGTGCGGCCATGCTGTGAGTGTGGGGCCATGCTGTGAGTGTGGGGCCATGCTGTGAGTGTGGGGCCATGCTGTGAGTGTGGGGCCATGCTGTGAGTGTGGGGCCATGCTGTGAGTGTGGGGCCATGCTGTGAGTGCGGGGCCATGCTGTGAGTGTGGGGCCATGCTGTGAGTGTGGGGCCATGCTGTGAGTGCCTGGCCTTGCTGTGAGTGTGGGGCCATGCTGTGAGTGCCTGGCCTTGCTGTGAGTGCCTGGCAATGCTGTGAGTGCCTGGCAATGCTGTGAGTGCCACCACATGCCATTGCTCTTACTCTCGACTGCCCAGCTTTGCTGGTGTGCTGGCTTTAAGTCGTGCTCTTCTTGCTTGACCTGCGTCCCGTGCCCCACCATCGCACATGCCTCCCCCTGCTTCCCTCCCACCCGCCTCCCATTCCTCCCCCCTGCCTCTCGTCCATCCCATGCGCCCTCTTGCTTTCCTGCCCGCCCAGCCCCCATTTCCCTCCTGCTTCCCGGCCGCTCATCCCTGCTTCCCGTTCGTTCCCCCTCCCCCCTGCTTCCGTCCTCCCCCCCTTCCTGCCTCCTGTCTGCCCCATGCCTGCAGGGCGGTGCACCACAACCAGCTGTCAGGCCCCATCCCCGAGTACCTCTGCCAATCCGTGCTGCAGATCATGTAACGCCCACATGCTGTACCGCCCACATGCTGTACCGCCCACATGCTGTACCGCCCACATGTTGAAACGGCCACATGCTGTACCGTTCACTCAGTGCACCATCCACACTACGCAACCTGCTCACCATGCAATGTTGATGACGCATTCACACAGTGTGGCATTCAGGTTACGTTACCCTCAGGCCCAGTAGCAAGCAGCAGGTATGAATGTGGGCATCCATGTAAAGTGACGCCCTTTATCATGCAATCAAAGGCTTGCACTCGTGACAATGCATTGCACAGGCGCCAGTGTGTTGCACTTTCACCCTGTGCTAGTTGCCTCCTCTCTACTGCCATCCTTTTAGGTGCTGACGTCTACCCACACCATCCATCTTGCTTGCTTCCTCACCTCCTCGCTCCCCTCACCATCTCCCCTTCTCCCGCGTTCTCCCATTGCCTCTTTTTCCCCTGTGCCCACCTGCCCCTTCCACCTGCCCCCCCTTCCACCTGCCCCTTCCACTTTCCCCCCCTTCCACCTGCCCCTTCCACTTTCCCCCCCTTCCACCTGCCCCTTCCACTTTCCCCCCCTTCCACCTGCCCCCTTCCACCACCTTCAGGCTCTTAAGCAGCAACGCCTTCTGGGGGGCCCTCCCTCAGTGCCTGCCCTTCGTCTCCTCAATTCAACTCATTTCCGTTCCCCATTCAACCTTTGCCCACCTTTATCCTTCGCCTTTCAGTTTTGCCCCCTCCGCTCATCACCCTAACGTTGTCCTCGTTCCTTTTTCTCTCCGCTGCTCACTCTCCTTTGTAACCTTCAACCTCCAATCGTGCTGCGAATTCCGCTTCCTTTCCTTCCAGGCCATTTCCGCTCCTGGCCTCTCTTCTCCCACTTGACCCTTGCCCCTTGCTCTGAACCTCTCTACCAGTGACGTCAGCAACAATCTGCTCTTCATGGATGCCGCAACCTTCCAAAACATGCCGCCCATCAGCCTGGACCTCAGCGGCAACTACCTCTACGGCTCCCTCTCCCCCTCTCCCAACATCACCCTCCCTCCTCCTCCTCCTCCTCCTCCTCCTCCTCCTCCTCCTCCTCCTCCTCCTCCTCCTCCTCCTCCTCCTCCTCGCCCCCCATCCCCTCTCTCGTCCTCCAAGCGACCCCTCAACCCCAGTCCCTCCCCCCCTGGGTAGTGCAAGATGTAACGAACCCTCAGTGCGTGTGTGTGGCGCAAGGGGGGCAGCAAAAAGGAGCTGGAGCAGGAGGGGAGGGCGGGGGGAATAGCAGTAGCTCCATGGCATGGCTGGCTGTGGCTGGGAACTGTGTGGGGAGTGAAGGGGTTGGGCAGCAGCGGGGGGCAACAGAGTGTGCCGCGGTGTGTGGAATTGAGTCAGGGCAGGGGCCGTGTGGAGGTGCGGGCGCGGGGCAGTGTGTGGTGCAGAGCGGTTGGCCGCCGTCCCTCTCCTGCTCCTGTGCTAGTGGTTACGTGGCTGTCACTGCTTCCGGCACTGCCAACACCACCACTTGCCAGATGCCGCCCCCTTCCCCTCTGGGTATGTTGAATCAGTGGCTTGAGCTATTGCCCCCCCTTTCCACCATGTTTCCCTGCTCCACCTTCCAGCGTGTACCCAACCTTCTTTGCTGCCTTCTTTAGCTTCACTCCCACTCCATTTTCCTCTCTCTTTACTTCTCAACACCATTGCTCCGCTCCATATCTCCATACTCCCCTTCTCCTTCGATCTCACACCATCCCCCCCTCTCTCCCCCTCTCTCCCCCCTTCCCAACCCCTTTCCCCGTTCCCCCCCCCCCCCTTCCCCCCCTCGTTCCCCCCCCCCCTTCCCCCCTCACGTCCCCCCCACCTTCCCCCCATAACCGTGTCATGAACGTTCTGTTACTATTTTCTTATCATTCTTTTCCATGCGCGCAACAGCTCCTGGTAACCACCACCCCGTTTCCCTAAACCTCCCATGCCTTGGCAGTGGCCTCGCTGTCTACGGGTGCCATAGTGGGCATCATTCTGGGCTGCTTTGCTGGCTTCACGCTGCTGGCAGCGGTGCTCGCATGGCTGCTGTGGCCCCGCGGACCAAGTGAGAGCCCCTCCACCCTTCTTCACCTCCGTTCCGTGTCCCCTAGTGCTCTACCTCTTTTCTAGCCCCCTACTCTGCTCAATTTCCCTGCTGTTTTTCCCGCATTTCAACCCTGCCCACCCACTAGCCTCATGCGCTCTCCACTCATCTACACACTTGGTCACTCATTCCTCTTGGTCGCCCTCTCCCTCGTCCTCCTGTGGTCGCAGAGAAGTGGGAGGGGTTGGATGTGTGTGAGCAGTTCTCGCTGCAGCAGATGCTCAGGGCCACCAACAACTGGTCCGAGGAAAATGTGCTGGGAAAGGGCGGCTTCGGCATTGTCTACAAAGGCCGCTCGCCACAGGGCCAGCTGTGGGCCATCAAGCGATCCACCATCATGACCAACGACTTTGAAACGGAGGTCAGGCATGCCTCTACTGCCTGCTTTCCGCCCACAGATCACACAATATAACGGCTCTCTTTGTTGTCCACAATGCTGCAGAATCCGTGCTCTCCTTTCCAATTCCCTCTGCATCTGCCTGCATGGCGTTCCATGCCCATGGCGTAGGTGCGAGCCATGGCCTCTCCGCACCGCTTTTGCGAATTCTCAAAAGTGATTTCCATTTGTGTTCCATGTCCATGCTGCAGGTGCGAGCCATGGCATCGCTGCACCACGTGCATCTGGTGCGCCTGCTGGGCTTCTGTCTGGACCAGAACGTGGAGACGGGCAAGCAGGAGCAGATCCTCGTGTACGAGTTCATCGGCAACAGGGACCTCCACTACCACATCCATTCCACCAAGCGTGAGTTTCACTAGCACGATGGCGAAATGGTTGCCAGGCATTTGTGTTTCTCTGCATGCGTGAGTTGCACTGGCACGACTTCTCAATGATTGCCATATTACTGCACAGAGCATGACACCGTCTCTCATATAACCGCACGTTCTGCTCCGTATCCATGTTTCGTGCCCCAGGTCCGCTCTCTCTGCGCCAGAGGTTGCGCCTAGCGCAGGGAGCAGCAGAGGGCCTGGCGTACCTGCACGGGTTTGACACTCCCATCGTTCACCGCGACATCAAGCCAGCCAACATCCTTGTGACAGCAGACATGCAAGCCAAGGTGGCTGACTTTGGGCTACTCAAGTGCCTCACTCACGGCGATGCTGACGTCACGCGAGTGGCCGGCACTCCGGGCTATGTGGATCCGGACTACACCCGCACCCACGTCATCACGGTCAAGAGTGATGTGTTCAGGTCTGCATGCTTTCTTTTTTCGCATAAAGGGACCGTGCTCCTCCGTTTCTTTTTTATCATCCAGGTTATGCCCTGCATTGCCATCTCTACCTCCGTGCATGCCTGTTCCTCTGCATGACACAATGAACTTGTGGACCTTGATCCCCCCCCTGGCTATGTTGAGTTCTTGTACCTTGTATTGCTAACTCTTCATCTGTCCATTTCTTTGAAAGTCTTTCCAAATGGATGATTGATTGCAGCTTTGGAATCGTGCTTCTTGAGCTGTTGAGTGGAAAGTCACCTCAAGTTGACGCAAAAACACATATAAGAAAATGGGTATGCTCATCAAGTATGAAACCCTTCTTTGTTTTTGCATGTAAGAGATGGGTATGCTGATAAGATTTAAGGTTCGTCTCCGATATTATTACTTTATGGCCTCACGTTTATCCTTGAGTCCCTTTCATGCTGGCTTTCACTGCCTTTCCTTGTTGCCATGCTGTCTTTCACTGCCTTTCCTTGTCGCCATGCTGTCTTTCACTGCCTTTCCTTGTTGTCATGTTGCCTTCCACCTCCCTTGCTGCTTATCATGCTGCTTTGCATTGTCTCGCCATTCATCATCCATTCGTGTACATTACCCTCCAGGCTATTAAGCTGGTGGAGGCGTATGAGGTGGATGAGCTGAAGGACAGCAAGATGCCGGCAGCAAGCGAGGAGGCGATAGTGGACTTTGCAGACCTGGCTCTGGACTGCATCAAGTCTCCCGGCACACGGCGACCCACCATGAAGGATGTGGCACATCACTTCAGTGCCCTCATTGACAAGCACTGCCCCGACAGGGAGGACGAATGGGAGAGTGTTGAGAAAGAAGAGAGTCTAAGCAACGTGGATATGTCCTCAAGAAATGTTTCTGCTCTGTCGTCTAGGGACGACGGTAGGGAGTCAGAGAGGCGTGAGGGCTCACAATCTAGTGTGCGCTCACTTTTGGGCATTAGCCTGTTAGGTGATGGCCTCAAGAGCTGGCTCCAATTGAAGCCTTCCAACGGGCGTTGAGTACGCCTGAGAAGACTGCACGTAGTATGCTTTCTAGCACGGAACTTGAACTTTAGCATTTTTTTCCTCTTTCAAAATGATGTGGAATATGGAAGTATGATTTCTAAATACTATGGTATTGGTTGGCTGAGGTTGAGGCCTATGATGTACTGGAGAGTACCGTAAGTACGATACTCGTAAAGCGACGGGAGTTTTGAATTCTTGTTCCGATATCGTTGTACCTTAGATATACCAGGTGCATCCTCAAAAGTAGTGGATGCGCATGTAGGAAAAAATGGAACGAGTGAATACAGGATTTTGCTCAGGGGTCAAAAGAATACTTCATTGCCAAAGAAGCAAAGGGTAATGCAGTGTTACGAGCTAGGGCATACTTCATTGGCAGCGACGTTCGGGCCATTCCCAAGGCGTAGGCCAACTCGGTCATGGATTGGCAAAAGTAGAGTGCGAGGTGTGTCAAGAATGAAAGTGCTGGTTTGAATAAGGTTGGTTGGAGTACATAAACCTAACAGTAACAATTGTACCCTTTATAACACACCTCACTAAGACTACAACATTTGACACACCCCCATAGTCTAAGTGAGGGGTGTCAAGCAAAACCAAAAGTGTACAGTCACTATACCAGTCACAAAGAAATAAAGGTCATGGTGGATCACAACGTCACCACACACTCCGAGCACAAGCAAAAGAGCCACAAGGCTAGTTCAGGAGTTCATAGAGGTATATATAAAGCGTACAAACAAAGCAAGCAGAGAACTCAAGATTACGCAAGACGAGAACCTGTGTCAACGAGACCTAACTGCACACAACACCGGTGGTCACAAGGCGGAAAGGCCTTGGTGAAGATGTCTGCAGCGACAAAGTCCAAGCGAGCCTGTCCACGCCTCTGCAACTCTCGCAAAAAAAAGGTACCTGTGGATTTGTAAGAGGCCAGCTCCGGAGTCCAGAGTGAAAGACAGCGAAGCGTCCCCCGGAGCAGCTCCTGGTCTAGTGTCTACACAAGTACTTACACTAGCAATAGGCACCTCAGTAAGTCTAGCGCCTACGCTAACAACACTCGAGTAAACAGAGTCAGAAACACTAGAGTCAACAACAACATACATAGCATGAGGAGTTCCTAAGAGATCAACCAACTGAGAAGCCGACATGCCCCACAGAGCGGGGCCGTACGTCTGAACAAGGGGAAGCCAGTCAGGGGGGCCGTCAACCCCGTAGGCCAACCGAAACGTGTCAGTCAGCTGAGCACAACACTAACCCAGTGGGTGGCTGCAGCCACAAGGCTGGCCTCTGTCAGATAGTGATAGGTGCAGGGAGGGTGGACGGCACCACGCGACAGCTGACGCGGTCCTGACCCCTACCCCGGAGCCTGCTGCTGCTGTGGCTGCTGCGAGGGGAGGGGCTGCTACTGCTGCTGCTGCTGCTGCCGCTGAATTAGGTACCAAGCCGCCACTCCAGCAGCTGCAGCCGGCGGACCAGTAGGTGCCTGACGAACCCGAGCGTCACCTCCACCAGCTGCAGCAGGGGAGTCACTAGCCGCTGCACGAGGCGCTCCTCCACCCTTTGTACTCCCCCCACCGCCGCTCGCCACGCCACCTCCGCCACCTCCGCCGCCTCCGCCCGCACCCTGATCGCCTCTCCTGCCACTCCTACCCCTAGACCGCGAAGAAGGCGTAATAGCAGCTGCGGTCATGTCAATAGCGGCAGCGGCAAGGGAGGCAGTAAAGGTGGGCAGCTGAGGGACAGTGCACCCGTGAAACAGTGGAGGGGGCACAGCACCAGAGGCGGAGGCTACCGAGCGGAGGTTGCTCTCGACGTCCTTGAGGGCAAACTCAAGGACGTCGAAAGTGAGCTCGCTAGGGTGCTAGGCAAGGCGGTCAGGGAGGCTAGTGGCGTGGAATATATAGTAATCGCCATAGGGGGAGGAAGCAGTGCAAGCTGTTCAACAGTGCAGGCAGTGCGGAAGCTGGAATCGAGCGAGCGCATGTGAGCGGTCAAGTTAACAGAGCGCTCAAACGAGGCGAGGTCAGGAAACAGGAACGAGAGAAACAGGCGACCAAGAGAGACAGTGGTGGGAGTAGCGTAGCGGGCCTTGATCGCTAGCCGTGCGAACCTGAGCAAAGTGAGCCTCCTCAGACTCAGGGAGGAGGCTGCCGAGGGCGATGCAGGCCGCAGCATCACGCGGCGTCCACGCTGTGAGGTCAGCACGCTGGCGAGCAAAATGGTCTCTGTCGGTAAAGCTAGCGTCAGCGCCTAAGGGAGCAGGATCGACGGGCTTAGGAAAGTTGCTAGAAGTGTGTGCCCACAGAGACACATCGGCCTGAACCTAACTCTCTAAAAGGCGGCGCACACGTAGGAGCCAGACGGAGAACTCAAGCGTCCTACCCTCAGCATCAAAGCGCAGGACCCTAGGAGTCGCCATAGCGGAAGAAAAGAGGTGGGAACTGCTGTTGCCGAAACCCTAAACGCCTGGAAGGGCGGCGTAGGGCGTGACAGACAGTGCGACGCGACGATACAAAGCACGACTAGCAGAGATGGGCGCAACAGGCGCGGACGAGCAAGGCGCATAGGGCGGGACGGACGGGTAGGGCGCACGAGGCGTGACGGACGGGTAGGGCGCATGGGGTGCGCGAAAGGGCAGGGCGCACGGGACGCGTGCGATGGGCATGGCGCACGGGATGCGTGCGAGACGGGACGGGACGCGCGGGACGCGCGGGACGCACGGGGCGCACGGAATGCGCGGGACGGGATGGGATGCGCGGGGCGGGACGGAACGCGCGGGACGGGAAGGGTGCACGGGGCGCGACGGACGGGCAGGGCGCAGCGAGGGGTCGACACGACGGGACAGCAGGGGCGACGGGACGGCAGGCGCAGCGGGCGCTAGGGCACGTGAGAGACGAGCGCGATAGGCGCTATGGAATAGTACGGGCGTAACGGGCACTAGGGTACAGGACAAGCTCGGGCGCTACGGACGAGATAGAGAGGAACGGGATCCCATGTGATCCTAACCTAGGTGATATCATGTCAAGAATGAAGGTGTTGGTTTGACTAAGGTTGGTTGTACCCCTTATAACACACCCCACTAAGACTACAACATTCGACAAGGTGGCCAAAGTCGTCAACCGGTAATGGGCGAAGTACAGTCGAGCTCGTGTATAGTGTTGAATGCGGTGGTCAGGTGCGTAGTAAGGAATTAAAAAAAAAAAAAAAAAAATCCTCCTCATGGATTCCGCTTAAGTTAGTGCGAGCACATCAAGAAATCTGGGCTCCTGAGATACTCTTGAAGGACAAGGTGTATTTCAATGTTGCACAATGCCACCTATGGGCATCTCACCTTCACCTGTGGAAATCTCGCCTTTATCTGTGGCCATCTCACCTTCTCCTGTGGTCATCTCACCTTCACCGGTGAGCATATCACCTTCATGTGTGGCCATATCACCTTCACTGGTGGCCATCTCACCTTCACCGGTGGCCATCTCGCCATCTCACCTTCACCTGTGGCCATGTCACCTTCACCTGTGGCCATGTCACCTTCACCTGTGGCCATCTCACCTTCACATGTGGCCATCTCACCTTCACTTGTGGCCATCTCACCTTCACCTGTGGCCATCTCACCTTCACCTGTGGCCATCTCACCTTCACTTGGGGCCATCTCACCTTCACCTGTGGCCATCTCACTTTCACCTGTGACCATCTCACTTTCACCACATGCCATCTCACTTTTTGGCCATCTCACCTTTACCTGTGGCCATCTCACCTTCACCTGTGGCCATCTCACCTTCACCTGTGGGCATATCTGTTAATGGGAGTTAAGGTTGGCCCCGTCCTCGCTTGGGCGGAGCCGACTTCGTGGTTGGGTGTACGGTCAGCCGACAAACTGCAGTAGGCGAGGGGTTTGGTCGACCTGCACGGGGCCACTGTGAAGCCGCCGACGAGGGAAAGCCGGTGGCCGACTTCAGTGGTCGACGAAGAGAGTCGTCGACCCGGAAGGGGTGCCGACTTGGGGCACCGACCTGAGGAAGCCGAATTGGCGCAGTCGGCTAACAGCCAGTGAGGTCGACCTGGAGTTGGTCGACTTGGGGAATGGCCGACTTGGTGAAGTCGGCTGGTGGTCGTCGACTTGGGAGGTCGACAAGCACGTACAACTGTTGGTCGACTTTTACTGAACAAGTCAACGTCGACTTGGCGGTGCCCTGGTCGACCAAGTAACCAGGGCGATGAGGTTTTGTGGGACGCGCGACAGTCGCCCAGGTGGTTATGGTGAATCCGATCTCGAGGTGGTATCCCCAGGTCGACGTGGTTTGTTAGGCGCAGTCAGTGTCACGTGGTTGACTTGGCGCCTATGCTGACGTGGCCGATCAGTGGTGGGTCAGTGGTGTCGGATACCTTCCTTCCTTCTCCTCTCATCACTCCCTTCTACTCCTTCTCACTCGCCCGTGTGCTGTACATCCTTCCTCTCTCCCCCTTTGCTTACCACTTATCACCTTCCCTTGCCCAAGTTAACCTTAACTCTCTGGCCTCACCCCTCCTTGGCCTCCTTGCCTCTGGTTCTCCTGGTACACTCTGATAGCTACTTCTCCTGATGAGCTCGGAGCTCCTTCACATACTACACCTTTGCTCCACTTTCTACAGTTCCTTGCTTGCCATATCTCCCTCAGTTCACCGTTTGCTCAATCTGCAGCAAAGCTCTCGTGTAAAAGGGAAACATACAAGCAATAGATAGTCTGTTTAGGAATCCGCCTATTCTACCAGCAAAGCCACCACCACACTTCGGTCCTGTCATCCCTGCCTACGCTAGCAGCTAAGAACTGCTTCACACAGGCTTGCAGCCGTGCTACCTCTTGCCACCCTTCCTTGCCCTGTCTGCTCGTCCTCCAGCTGTTACTTCCAGATCCAGCTGGCTCCCCGAACCTATCCTACACACATAGAGAAAGCAAAACAAGCATGCATACGTACACCCATCCATCTCATCCTGCGCTGCTGCTTCCTGCTGCCGCTGCCTTGTC